ACTCAGGCCAATCCTGGAAATTCTGGGATTATGTGTGATCATTATGTTAAAACCAGTAATAAACAGTTCTATGTCATTCGTTTTCCGAAAAGCTAAGGCCCTTTCAGATACTTGCGAGTCCTTAGAACCTGGTGTCCCATTGAACAAAAGCGTTCCTCCCTTTAGGGAGGACTATAGAGACCTTTTTTTCGAAAAGTACAAGCAGCCATCGAGAAGGTAAACGAGTGGAGCGCGGCGGGCTCCGATGGCATAAACAACGCGATGCTCAAGGACCTGGACGATCGTGCATAACAGCAAGCTCCTCGAGCAGGTCAACTTGATCAGTCACGAGGGGCGGATCCCGATGAGTGGAAACTCTTGGGCCTCCCATTCCCAAACCCAGGAAGAAGCCAGACAGACCGCAGAACACGAGGCCCATCTTGCTCACATCAGTCCTCTGTCCAGAATGTTCATGGCAAGGATCGACTGGATCTCCGACGAGAATGAAGCCTTTGACCCGGCCCAAGCGGGTTTTAGAAAGAATATCGGCACGCGAAACAACCTCGCACTTATCAAGGAAAGCCTTCTGGGCGCGGATCTCTATAAAACCGCGAAGCCTGGAAACTGCAAAAACAACGGAGGACGCTAGTGGTGCTCGACATATCGAAGGCCTGTGACAAGTTCCCCTATACTATTGTAGTTGGCACCGCGACAGGGCTGGGAATGCATGGAAGTCCGTTAACCTTCATTAAGACAATTCTGCACGTAAGAAGGCGCAAGGTAAAGTCTGGCGAGCACGAGAGCAGCGAACGTCACAACGCTTTCGGGGTCCCGCAGGGCGCAGTCCTGTCTCCAACCATTTTCAGCATCGCCATGATTCCGCTGCTATTAGAACTAGGTCAAATACCGACCCTGGCGTTCACTGTGTACGCGGACGCTGTTACTAAATGGAAAATGACCGAAGCGAGCGGAGCGGAGCAGACCGACACGATTCAACAGGGGCTAAACACGGTCAACGCGTTGTTCGCGTGTGCGGGCATGAAACCGTCGCCCGAAAAGACGGAATACATGGTGTTCCGCCCGTGCTGGAAGCGAGACCAAGTGAAGCTCATGTTCCACAGCAGCGACATCGAGAAGACGGAGGAACACTCTGTCCTGGGCGCAGTGGCGTCACAAAGGGGGGGGGGGGGGGGGGGGGGGGTTGGCGTCACAATTGGGCGGGGGGAGTTGGGGGGAGGGGGGGGGAGTTCGCGGCGGGCTGCCGCCTGGGTGCCGCTGACCCTAGTGTTTGGGCGTAATCCTAAGCCGGTTTTCTTTTCGTTCTTAAGCGCGATCCAAACCAACGCTTCTTTTTGCGCCTGTAGGTCGTGCGGCTGCGGATGTGACGTATTTTCGTGACGTCGCGCCGCTTCTTCGCTCCTTCCGGGCGCGCACAAGAAAGTTGGATGATTTGAACTTCTCAACGCGCACAAAAACGCGCGGTGACGTAGTAGGACGCTCCTGTGTCCCGGCCGATCGGTTGAGGGCAATCTAGTTCCGGCTCCGCGTTTCTCGCCGTCTGGCTGCCCTCTCCTCCCCCCCTTTTATTCTCTTCCAACATGACAACGCGATCTCTCTCTCTCTCTTTCTCTCGCCGTTTGTCTGTCGCAGTTGCACTTTGCTTGTGCGCTCGTGCCTGCGTGCGCGCGTGCGCGCTCGCCCGAAGTTTCGCCTGTCCAAACCAAAGCGCACGGTTCTGACTCAGAAAGCGCGCCCGGAAACAGCAAAAACGCCACGAAATGCGTCACATCCGCAGCCGCACGACCTACAGGCGCAAAAAGAAGCGTTGGTTTGGATAGCGCTTTACTCTTCCGATCACAGATGTCCGCGCTTATAATTTGCCACGCTCCAGTCCCGGCTCTGCACCCCGGATCAACGCGAAGTAGGAGCGTCCGAGTCATCACAATTCCGCGTAAGCGACCCACGCATCCGAGCAGATCCAACTCGACAGGAATGCACACCGCAGAGTTAGAGGAAATGAAGTAGCGCGCGCTTCAGTCAACTTTGACAGGCTCCGTGAAATTTCACAAATCAGCTTCGACGGGGTTGAAGGCGCTCCACGGGACAGGTGCCGCCACAAAGCTACGAGCGGAAGATGACTAACTTGAGCCGGATTTGCCAGCAGAAAATGCGCTCTTCAAAATGGGATGCTTTGGGAGCGCTCGAAACCTGCGAACAGAATTCACCATTCGACTGTGTGCTTGATTTGGGCCTAGAAGTGCACATATAGCTTTCCCTTCGTGTTCAATGTGTGAGTGTCATATGCGAGGTAGACCAGGCCTTGTAGCCATCGACGCCTTGCCCTTCCATTTTCCCCCTGTTTTTCTGGCCTAGTGAACGTGTGTTACTAGAAAACGATTTCAATAGAAAGATCGGCCACGCATAAATGTGATGTTTGATTTTTGCAGGATGCCTAGAGCCTTTAAACTCAATTATAGCCATAAATAGACTACCACAGAAAGTGGTTTTGTGCTATTTAATGGGACCGGAACGGTATAAAATTAGAAAGAGAGAGAGACAGATAGAAGTAGAGATACGAATGAAAGTTGTTCACTAGCACAATATGAATATGAGCTCCAGGTGCACTCGGCTGATCTAAATATAATAAAATAGAAATGAGTGGAACGTAGGATCATGTGACGCTTGAGGCCAGTTGTTTCTAAAGTTAGACTCAGCCGGCCTACAAAGGTGATGTTTCAAAGCATCAGGTGTGTACGCAGCACTGCTTCCATTTGGTAAGCTTGGTTTTCGGTTGTCGCTAACTTTCATTACTTCTTTTTATGGGTCTTTTCACATCTAACTCAACAAGACTTTGTGCCGCGAGCTCGTTTTCGGCTTGATCGGGGTTTCCTCGCTTAAATTCATATGGAAAAGTAAATTCTAAACGGCATAAGTGAATGCAACACAATGTTGGTTTATTATTGCTATGCAATGTTGTACACGTTCCTCAAAAAAAGGAACGAAAGCTCGTTCCTTGCTCCTTCTGATTTCTGGAACGCGTTCCAGTTACAAGTTTCATATGTGAAAAAGGAACTCGTCCAGTTACAGTTTAAAAAATGGAACGTATCGTTACATATACGTTACATTTGTGTTTTTTGCTAATTACTATATATAGTTAAATCAAGCTGAGTTTTATTTTTTTATTTATCCCATTAATAGTCAGCATACGAGTTCGTATGTCGTGATGGAAGGGCACCAGGAGAAGAAAACACGCAGAAGCTGGGTTTCTTTTGTTGATATATTCATGTTAAAAATCTCAGCTATTAACCATGTCCATGTATGTAGTGGATAATTCAGACGAGCCAAATGTACTTTTACCGAGATTGCACGAGCGTTTCACAACAGCCTCACACGTCTCAATTCAACGGAGTCCCGTGTTAGAAGTTAACGAGAGTTGCTTCTCGATGTTGCTGTCCGTAAGACGAGCAAGTGAAGGAGAGGGTAGGGCTTTTGGAAAGTCAGTCTTGAAAACTACAAATACTTCGTTGTGAAGGTAGGATTTGTTGTTCAGTTTGAAGGTGGGGACAAGAGAAGGAATAAAAGTTATTTTTTCGTGCATCTCTTAAGTGAATAATGTTCGGGATACAAGGGTGAGTCCGATATCTAGCAATCTGTGATCTTGTAATTGGAGGTCTCGTTATTGAAGTTCAGAAATGGCTGTAGTCGGAATAAGATTTCTGGGTGTATGAGGACTCGTGGAACCAAAGAAAGTAGCTGAGTTCGAAACAACCCTCTTTCTTTGTCTTTTCCTTCGACTAAATTTTTGCTTTTTGTACCGCAGTTTCGGGAACTCAAAAAAGTATCAATACCCACCAGCTCTCCTGCACCCGAAACTGTTAGCAAGCGAGGACCACACTAAATAATCTATAAGATTAGTAGCCAAAAAAGTTAAAGAGATTTTGCACCTCGTAAAGACATTGTTTTTGTACTTTCATATTTTCCCTGTTAGAAATAAAATAAAAATCACCCCACTGGACGAAAAAAAAAGGAACGCCGTTACTCTTTCCGTTCCGGTAAAAATGTAACGCGTTCCCGTTCCAGTTCCACCGATGCCAAATGGAACGGCGGCGTTCCTTCGTTCCTCCTAAAAGGAACGCGTTCCAGGAACGCAGTTCCTTGGAACGTTGTTCCGTACAACACTGTTGCTATGCTCCCAGTTTACTATATTATATAAATATGTAACACAAGTAAAGACATAGCATTTGAGTAATTCGTACATTGTGGCTTAAATACTACTTATTATAATTACGCCTGCAAACAATTTGAATTTATGTTGCTTCGATCTGCATGCTAAATAGATGACTGGTATATAGAGGCGGCACTACAAAGAAATATAAATTTTCTGTGTGTTATTATTAAAAAAAACACGAAAGAAAAAAAAAAACTTCCGTTATTTAGCGGGCGAGATTGGAGGTATTGGTAACTTTGAGATAACTCGAGGTATTGGTAGTTTTATGTGCTGTAGCAATCTTTGCTCACTTAGTCAAATAAGCATTTGGTAAAGGCAGGATTTACTCGCCCTAAAAGATAATTTTTATATGGAATAAAGGATATTTCTTGTGTCTTTCCGAATTTCCAAAAAAAGGGCGAGCCACATAGTAATAATTAAATAATAAAAAAAACCTGTCCTCCTACATTCGCTTCCTTCATCGGTTTCGTGTCGAAGATATTAAATCGTCCCTATTTTTATAAATTGATTTTAGCGCGTTTTTAGGGAGTAATTTCACCTACCTCTTAACTCAGCAGGGAGGTTACGTCAGTCAAATTTTTCCACAGGCAAGCTCTGGCGATGCGGTGGGCGTTTAATGACTGAGCATAACTTTTTTTTTATTGAGATGTAAATTTGTGCAGATGCTTTTTATGTAGATGATAAATTTTCCGAATAAATATCTAAGGATGAATTTGCCTCAGTCAAAGCCAAAATATGAGAGAGAATATGCTATGCACTAAGACCAACCTCTGAGGAATCATCAAAGGCAGTGATGGGCCGCTCTGGTGTTCATTTGGACAAGTTAGGCACCAAATGCAAGCACTGTTTGTCACCCAGGCCCCCCCCCCCCCATCCCCCCCCCCCTTTTCTTGTCGCAATAAATGCCAGGATGACCCACGGTGATATTTATGAAATCACGAAATACTATGTAACGTAACTTCTTCTCCGAATAATAAAAAAAAGTTATTGTCTGTTCTTTTTGTTCGTTTATGCATTTCAGGGTAAATCTCGCGAAAAATAACGTTGCGTGACCTTATGTCACGTGACCTATATAAAAGTTTATAGTCTCCCCATTAAATGCATAGGCAAACCTCCTATCCCGTGACTTTTACACCACTTGACTTTCCCCACAAAATATAGGAGAAAATCGATGTCATGTAACGTCGCGAGACCTTCATACCAACACGGTTTCAACGCCACACTTTTTGGGGAAACTGAATTTGTTTGTAGGTGGATTTTTCAAAGGGAGCTCCTTATTTCGTTAAGTCCGGCATTTCTTGTTTTTTTAGGTGCCAATGAGCAGTTTTTCGAACGAACAGCATCAAACCGAATGAACAGTCCCGCAAGCGCCATGCACCGAAGCGGCGATGAGGACAGCCCTCTGCGGGTTTGCATCGTGGGAGGCGGAGCGAGCGGCATCATTTCTGCCCGGCAGATGCTTGACGAGGGCTTCCAGCCAATCGTCTACGAGATGTCTTCCAGCCTGGGCGGCCTCTGGGCCTACCGCGACCATAGCGAGGAGGGCGTGCCGTCCATCATGCGGTCTACAGTCTTCAATACCAGCAAGGAAATGAGCGCATTCAGGTATGTACTAGAGAAGCAGTTGCGTGTTTGGCACGTTTCACTTCTTAGATAACCGAGAAATGTATATAAATATTGAGAAAATTACCCGAAACCACAAATACCTCAAATTTGTCATGATAGCACGTTAGTATAGACCCATCAGAGAAAAAAGCGCCACCTGTTGTACGCAACAGCAACTAGTGGCAGCCGCCATGCTGCAGGATAGTGCGCGCCGCTGCATACGCTGCGTTGGCCGTAGACGCTAGTCAATTCCTGCCCACGATGCCAACGTATACTGCTGCGTACCCCTCTGTAAGCAGAGTGGGTATCTGGACAAGTCTGGCATTAAGGTACGTATTCGGAAATGTACTCGTTATCGGTTGACGGCGGCGTGGCCGCGCAAACGTTTCCCTGCTGAAGTGCAAAAACGGAACACGAACCGTTTTCACGCTACGCTTCCTTGGGTGTTTGAGTCAGCTGTTTTTAATCTCACTTTGTTGCGTTTGGAGGTAGAGTTTTCACGTTTCAGCTAGCTTGAAGAAATCAAGGCGTCAAATACAAATATAATGTTGCTCGTGGTATCGCTTGTGGACGTGACAGCTTCGCGAGCGCCTAGCTTCAGGTATGCACGAGCTCGCGGTGCTTCAAACTTGCGCGAGTAAATTATATGTTAGGTACGCATGAAGCCATACGACCTGAGGGGGGATCGGTGGCCGAGTGGTCTAGCGCACACCAGCTCGGAGCACGTGGAGCGAAAGCTCGCGCTGCAGAACCCAGGGATCCTGGTTTCGAGCCCCACCCCTGCCCGTTTCGATCTGGATGAGCATCGTACCGGCGTGCGGTCGTGTATCACTACTGCGTGATGCACGTTAAAGACCCCAGGCTAGCGGCTGTACCGCACTGGCTAAATTTCTCATCTACAGCTGGGAGACTCGTCGCCCCTGTGAGGCAGACCAAGCTCTAGGCTGTATAAACACACACACAACCCCCCCATACGACCTGACGCTTTAACCTGCCTGTAGCGCAGACATTTGTGCAGCGCGTGCTTTATGCAAAGCAACATGCACGCGCTTGCAACTTCTGATTCAGTGCAAAATTTGCTGCTCTACATTTCCCAACTCTAAAATCCCCCTCAAGAAAAAGGGACTCGACGTATCAAGTAGGAACTTGTGTCGAATACGTCCTTTACTGGTTAACTTGCGCATTGAAATTTTAGGTCTTAATTCCAAGCAAAAAAAAAAAACGCGATTTGACGAGCGATGAGTCAAGCGACGGCACAAGCGACGAAAGTCGGCTACGAGCGACGAAAATGTTTCACTGTCGCTTGTCGCGTCGCTTGGTTTGGGATTTCTAGAAAACGACGCTCATCGCCTTGGTCGCTCGCTCGTCGCTTTTATGCGGTGTGCTTCATCGCGCGACTGTCCGAGCGACAGCGAAGCGGGACCCCTGCGCCTGTTTTGTCGCACATCCGGAGAGTACTGGCGACTTCTAACTACAGCCCGTAAATTATAAACGGTTCCTATCGTTTTTTGATGACATGTTTGATGTCGTAACTACAAAGATCTTAGTAATTACCTTTTTTTTTTGCGTAGTTGGCCTTTATAGATGCGGCGACCACGAACCCCTCAACGAGAAAGTTGTAACTTCTGTCGAATTGTCGTTCCGAGTCCGATCGGCTCTTGAAGAAGCGATATGCCTCATCATCTTTAACGGCTGGGAGCTGGGAAAGGTCGTTTACCCAACCCGTGATCGGGAAAGCCCTACCTGCAGCCATACAGAGGCGAAGGGATCGACGAAACAATAACGCTACAGTCAAAACAACCATGCCGGCCGCAACAGGGTCCTTCCCAATGGCGCCGGCCGCCCAATGTTGTTGGACTCGTTCAGCGGATTTTCGCTGTTGCCAGATTTTTTGAAAGGGGTCTATACGCTGGACATCATATTTTAGGTCCTTGTTGGAAGTCCATGCTCAGAACTAGCTTCCACTGATTGTCTCTCAAGATCAAATATTCTCATTTGGTGACGTGCGGGTCTGTACGATATTTATTACCAGTAGCATAGCCTCCCCTATACTCACAACGCCTGGCAGTTCGACGACGGAGACATAAAGTGTCCAGTCGCAGATTTGGAGCGCGGGGATCTGGTAGCACAGAGCATTTCTCGGGGAGTCCGGTATTCCGCGCACAGCTTTTGCAGCGGCGAGGAGCCGAAACATGGTTTTCAAACCCGACGAGAAAAGAAGTGGCCCGAGGGACGCGAGAGGCACGAGCGGACATTCTATCGCTCGGAAAAAGTGTGTTTCGGTTTCTCGACGCAGCGGGGCGCCCGTTACATGACTGTTGCCAGCCGCTCTACCTTTTCACTTTCGGCGGCCGCGTCACGTGACGGTCTGCCAGGCTTTGTCAGTATTCGCGACTCCAGCAAAACGGTCGCCGCCAAGCGGGAAAACCGGGAACCAGTCGGTCCAGGTCGCTCCGCGCCCCGCCGCGTCTCTGATGGCTTTCGCGGACACGTGCTGTCGGCGCGGGGGCGAGCAATGTAATTTGACGAAGGTCCGAAAATTTCTTAAGTTTGCCTGAGTGTTGATTAGTGTGGTGAAGCCTCAATAGATTGTTTCTTTCCATCACGTGTTTGAAAGCCCGTTTACTCCACAACACACGGTCGCGTGCTTTCAATTTTTTGGACGAGGAGGAATCACGGAAAAACGTTTTGATTTCTAGTCTGTCTCTAATCACATTCAAAGGGACGACTGCTTGGTAACTGATAGGTGGTTTCTTTATAAGGATGTAGAACAGTGGACTGAGGTCGACGGACGAAGTGTTTCACTGGAGGGAACACCAATGTTGCAGTCAAGTGAATGGGAAGGTTCGATCTGCTTTCCTTGAGTTTGGTTGTGCTCGATTAGCATCAAGTTAATTTGAGCCAGTAACGCCGGCCGGTGCGTTGGCTATTCATCTTGGCGGCTTTTCGCCGAAAAAGACCACGTTAAGGGAGTTGGGCTAATTTCGCAATTACTTGATTCAGAAAACCTGCTCGCTGCGTATGATTAATGAGGGAAATTATCTGCTTTCAAAAGGTGGGGGACGCGTCTCGCAAAGTTAGAAGCTGTCACGTCATTAAGATCTATCGCGCCTCCAATATTTATATTATAACCCCTGTCGAAGCCAGCAGCAATACACGTCTACATTGCTCAGGTTGACCGGCCACAAAAAATACTCATTTTATCCGTTCAGGATTCGAAGTCAAGTTCAATGCAGAGAGGTCTGAGTGAATCTCCGATGAAGACTCTCCTCAGTTTGTCCGCATTCGTCTCCGTTCTACCGGCTAGAACCGTGTGGCTAAGTTTAAGTAGTATCTCTCTGTTTGTCAAATATACTTTTATTCAGCAGTTCACATAATAGTTAGTTAACTAAGTTCATATTTCAACCCGAAGAATATACTAATATCGCTTTAGTGGGACCATAGTACGTAATATGATACATAATCCGCATATTCGTTAAAATGACTTGTCGATTGCTACTAAAACCTGAATTGAAATACGAGTATCAGCTGCTTAGTGAAGCGCCAACGAGTTGACATGCTCCTTGGCTCAAGAAGCGCTTGCTTAATTTTTGTAATTTTCCTGCAGCATGTGTTCTTGACCGAGCACACGACTGGAGCTGTTTCTTGAAACGCGGACAGGCACAAAAGCTCAATTTGCGGACAGATAAGTCGCATGGTCGAGGCATGCGAGTTAGCTAAAAATTACTTTCGGTGGAACAATTTTGTAGCCCTCGCCGCTTTCCTTAGATGATCAAAACTAATTAGAGTCTATTACCGTTTCTCCGGAGCCCATAGTTTCGGTTTTGATCGAAGTCTCCGAAACAAAAGTTTGACATAAAAAAAAAAAAAAAAACACCGGAAAAACAAAGCTATGCTCGGCAAGTTTATGCGCACCGGCTACACTTAACTGTCTCAGTTCAAATACCCATAAAATTGGGCATTCAACGAAAGAAAATTTGTTAAATTGAATGCGCCACCCATTCAGGCGGCCCGGCCGAGCCGACGCGACCTGGACTCAGCCGCCATGTTTGTTTGGTGGTGGCGCCCCCTATAGGTCGCTAGAGTCGCGAATAGACCTTTTCATTTCAGTAGTTGCCTGACCGGCGGGTAGAGGGCGCTGGCGCACTCGGCGCCATTAGGTTGCTTCAATTTGGTCGGTTTCGGTTTCAACGTACACGCGATTGTGATGCTGTTTCATGCCACTTTCGATTAATTTTGCTATATGAATTTCTTTCTAGTAGCACTCAGCGAATGAAACAATAGTATTGAGCCACTTGGCAAACCACGAAGTGGTTTCGAGCCTAAATTGCGATCTTTTTTTTACTAACACTATATGCGTCTGATTCCGTCCATCGTCAACTTCGGCCAGGTACGGCGGTGATACAACTGCACTGATGCACAGGGAGGAGTACCATTGTCCACGGCTGTACTCGCGGACACTAATTTCAAGAGGAAAAAAAAATAAGGAGCAGGACAGCTCCGTCTGCAGCGTGCGCTCGTTGCCTGCCACCGTGCTTTGGCTGTTCGTGCACCGAGCGGTACGGAAGTAGCTACCTCGCGCTCAAGTCAGATATTGAACTGATCATCTTATATTGCAACAGACTATATTACATGAGTGCTTAGTGAAAAATCAGGTTGACAACATGATCAACAATCTGCTGAATCACCAAGAACAGATGAACTGACATTTTTACTGTTCGATGTTTGGTTTCCGTACACCAACCTTTTCTAATACCCGTGCCACACGGGCAACTCGAATGCCATTTACAACGAATGACATTTGAGCGGACGGCCAATCAGCGCGCGACACTCCGGGCGTAGTACATTCCACGCGCGACAGATTGCGAGCTGATTCGCCGATCACACAAATGTAATTCGTTGTAAATGGCATTCGAGTTGCCCGTGTGGCACGGGTATAACTTTGAGACTGGAAACGTATTTTATAATAACTAGAAACGTTTATTATAATCACGTAGATA